CGGCCGGGGGTGGGGGCGGAGGGGCTGTGGCCGGGAAGGCGCCCACCCGACCCACCGGCCCCACACCCGCGGCGAGGATGCCCGATCGCGCACGCAAACCCTCAGGCCGCGAGGGACACAGCGCGCCGGCCGCCACCGCGCGCAGGAACGAGGGGAGGGGCGCGGCGGGCCCCCCTCCTCCTCCTCCTCCTCCTCCGCACCCCACCCTCCCCGTCGCGAGCCCGCCCGCCCCGGCGGCCCCGGGAGCCGGGCCGGGGACGCCCCCGGGCCAGGCCACACCGGGAACGGCCGACGCGCCCTCAAGAGCCCGTCCGTCCGCCCGCCCCAGAGGGGCGGGGGATGCCGGGCGGCGAAGACACGGCGACCGGCCCGCGGTGGGCGGACCGGGGACCCGACCGGCGCTCGGGAGAGCGCGTCGGAGCGGGGGGCGCGGCGGGGGGGTGTGCTGGTGGGTGGGTGGGGTGGGGGCGGTGGGAGGGGGTCACGGGTGCTTCCCCCCTCGCCCAGCCCGCGACGACGTCGGCGGACAGGCGGCGGCGGCAAAGCGGGCAACGGATCGGGGCCGCGGCAGGCCCGGGGAAGCGAGGCACGCCAGGGCGCGGCCCCGGGGAGCAGCAGATGGGGAGCGGACCGGGGCGGACGGGCGGACGGACAGAGAGGGGCACCGGCGGTGTGCGGCCACGTGACACCAACGCCACGGAACCGGCGGTGGAGGCGGGGGTGGCCGCGCGCCACCGCGAGGGGGATGGGCTCGAAACGACCCGGGGGAAGCGAGTCAGCCGCTAGGGCGCACCGCGGGATCTCACCGCCAGAGGCCTCCCAGCACAGGGGCGGTCCCGCGGCACACCCAGAACGACAGACTGGCCTCTCCGGCCACACACCCCACCCCCGCGGGGGGGAGGGGGGGCGCACCCCTCACGGGGGCCTCACGCCCACCGCCACACCTACACCCAGAGCCGCAGCCGGCCCGGGAGAACGCTCTCGCGCCGCGTACCGGCAAGGCCCCCACAGCCCTCACACGCGCAACCCTGCTGTGCGCCAAAGGCTTCCCCCCGCCCGCCCCGTCCCCCTCTCAGGGCTCCGAGGGCACTGCGCCACCCGGGGACGCCACCGGCCGACAGAGGCCGGTAGGCGACACCCACGTGAGGCGAGGCCAGCTCGGTCCCAGACCGCGGGGGACGGGGGTGGGAGGGGACACAGGCGGCCGCACGCACGGGACGAGGAGGAGGGCCGGCAGCGGTGCGGAGGGGCCGGCCAGCACACGCAGCAGGGGCTGCGGGACGGGGGCGAGGGCGCCGTCCCGGGGACCAGGAAACACCGGGACACAGCCGGGCCACCAGGAAAACCAGCGCGGGGTCACACCGCCACCCACGCACGAGGGCGGTCCCGCGACGCCTGGGACGCCGGCCGTTCCCGGCCAATCCCTGGAGCGGGCCCCACACCCCGGCCCCGCCGCCAGGGCCGGCGTGCCGTCCAGCCAGCCCTTCCTCCATCCGTCCGTCCGTCCGTCCATCCACGACAGATCCATCTTCCATCCAAGTCTGACCCCGAGGGCTCAACATCCTGGGGACACGCTCTCGAGCGAGGCGGCCCAGACCGGGCCCACCACACCACCACCGGCTGTGGCTCGGGGGCGAGGGCGGGCGCGACAGGCTCCTCCTCACCACAGCTGCGGGGCTGGGGGAGCCGGGGCCGACCGGGCGTCGCGCCCCGACCACCCCCTTTCCCCCTGGGCTCACACCGCGGGGCCGGCCGCGCGCACACAGCACACACGCACGGCCGCCCCCCACTCGCCAGACACCCGGCGGGGCCCAGCGGGACCCTCCCCCAACTCGGAGGGGGGAGGCGCAGGCCGCAGTAGGCAACAAGCGGCACGCGGCCCCACCGCGGGGCCGGCGCAACCATCACCACCCCCCCCTTCCCACGGAGGGGAGGGGGGGGGGGCTTTTCTGCCCACGTGCTCTGGCAGTCGCCACGGTGGCCACTGCGCACTCGGGAGGGGCAGCGTCTGGGGGGTCCGGTACCCCAAGGCTCCCTCTCAGATCGCTAGAGAAGGCTTTCTCACCGAGGGCGCGCCGTCCCTCACCCGGTCGTCTCTCCTTCGGGCCCCACAGAGGCACACCGGGAGCCGCCAGTCCTCAACTGGGCGGGAGGGGTCTGCGGTACAGGTAAGCAGATGACCACGCACAGGAGCGCGTGCGCGGCCAGGGCCCGGGCAGAGCCCGCGCCCCGCCCCCTGCAAGGCCTCATCCGTCAGCCTCCGCGACGAGGGGAGCACACAACGCTTCTCTCACCGCCTCGACCCGCTCCCACCCAGAGAGAGCCACTCGTGGGACACACGCACACCACCGTGGTGGGGACCCGAGGAGGACACAGGGTTAAGGGAAAACGGCACCACCGCTCGGCCTCGGGCACCTGAGGGACGACCTGGAGCACTCCAGGGGCACCACCGAGGGTCCAACAAGGCACGCTCACACACCCGTGCGGGGGCGTGTGGCGTGGCAGCGGCACAGCCCTCCCCACCGCGGGGAGGGCCGCTCGCGGGGCAACACGCCAGGAAGGCGAAAGCAAGCGCATCTGCTGTGTCTGAAGACCAACGGCCCCACCAGACACCCCAAGGCGGGGGACGGGAGACCGAAGGTCAGGGCCGGAGGCCTCACCCCAACACCCCCTGCCTTCCTCACCCTCCCCAAGGGGCAAGGGGGGAAAGACAGGCGAGGGGCACCGCGGACAGACCGAGAAGAGCGGACACGTTCACTGGGAACGCCCGTCCCTCGTCCGGCACGGCTTAGGCCCGGCCCGGGAGAGCACGACCACACCACATCAATCAGTTGAGCCAAGGTGGGGGGGTGGGGGTGGGGAGAGGGCACAGGCGAGGACAGCCACCAGAAGGGCCCGCTTTAAGCCTCACTGGCAACCGGCAACCTCCGGCAACCTTCCCCCTCCCCGCCACCAACAACCCCACACCTCAGGCGAGGGCGACCGACGACCCCAGGAGGAGAACGCCTGACACGTGGCACGGAGCCTACAGGGCGGGGGTCGTCCCAGCCACCACCGGCTGCCCGCAGCGGGGAGCGCAGAGTCATCAATCAAATCAAAGACCCACACCGCCTCGCCCCACCGCCCTCGGGCCGCCCTGGGACCAGAGGTGGCACCACGAGCCGGGTCGGCCAGACACACCACACGGGAGCCGGCGCACAGGGCCCAGGCGGGCGGCTCCAGCGGCAGAAGCCAAATCAGGCGCCGGCTGGCGGCCCAAAGGCCCAGAGCCCCGCGTGCATCCAGAGACCCAAAGTTCTCGGCGGCAGACACCAAAGCAGACCGTGTCAGCACTTACCTGGTGGCAAAAAAGACCTATTTCGGGCGACACAATGACAGCAGCCGACAGCAGGGCCCATCTACGACTCGCAGGGAGGGACCCCGGAACCTTGACCCGGCCACCTGTTCCCAGCACTACCCCACGAACACCAGGCCTGGAGCTATCGGGGGCCATCTGGTCGACTTGGGGGGGGGGGAGGGGGAGGGGGGAGGGAGGGGGCCGCGTGGTGGCAAAAGTGGGGACGCGGACGCCAAGGGAGAGGGAGCTGGCCGGAGACGCCCTCCCCGCTTCGCCCACACGCGTAGGCGGACCGGTCCGTCCGAGTCTCCGAACGGGGACTTGGCTTCGATGTGCATAAAGAAAAAAAGAAGAAAGCAACGTCAGCGAGGCGCCTCCAACAAGACGAGCCGGCCCCGACCAGGGACCACGCCCGGGGCCCAGACCGTCCTACACGGGGCACCCAGGACGGCTCGAGCCGGTCCCCACCCACCTCCTGACTGACCGGGATTCAGGGAGGTTGGGGAGGGGTGAGAAAAAGTCGCGTCCGACGACCGAGACCCACGAGGGCACGCTGTATGGTCGAGCGCGCCCTCCCCGGCCACCCGCGGGAGCAGGGCCCGGTCCATCCACGTCTCCGGACCTATCGGGACTTTGAGAAAGAAAAGGCATGCGTGCCGGGAGACGCCTCAGGCGACAGGACCCCACCGGGGGACCGCACACGCGCCCGCGCCGGCCGTCCTCTCCGGGTCAGCCCTCACGACTCCGGCGGGCGGGTCCCCACCTGGGGAGTGCGACGCGGAAAACACCTCTGTCAGAGAGAACCCGAGGGCCCGGACCCAGCCGCGCCCTCCGCCGACCTCCACGCCACAGTCCGGGCCGGTCCCCACCTCCGGAGCGGGGCCGAGGGCGAAGCACACGCTCCTGAGGGCGACCCGGGAGGAGGCCGGACCGCCGAGTCCGAGTCCAGGCGCTCCGGGCAGGGAAGACCCTCTCCCTGCCCACCGCGGCGGGCCGGCCCAGGTAGGGTCCGGCCGGTCCGTCTCCACGGCCGGAGGGGCACGGGGAGATGCTGGTCGACCCGGCCAGGCCGCCCCAGAGCCCCGATCTGGAGCGCCGCGACAGTCACCCTCCTCAGAAGCCTAGAGAACCAATCTCCGCAGACAGCAGGACGTCCCCAGGCCTCGGTGTCCCCGGGACTGTCACCGCCAGCGTAGCCGGTCTCTGAGAGCTCTGCCTCGGGCCCGGTGGCTGAGTCACAATCCTCCTGAAGGCCTCGCCGAAGCTCCGGAGGGGGAGGGACAATATAGAAGCGGCCGCCAGGTGGCTCCTGACAAACGGCTCGACCGTCCCGAGGACGGGTCGCTGTCGCCGGGCGCCGAGGACGCCACCGCGCCGGCCTCCCAAACGCCCGAGCTCGGCCCGGAGCCTCCTCCGCCTCCGAGCCACACGACGCGACGCGACCCCGGCCGCAGAGGAAGGGAGAGGAGCTGGGAACTATCTCCTCAGGAGGCTGCCCCGAAGGAGACGCGCTCCCCCCCCCCCCCCACACACACACACACACGCGCGATTCCAGGGTGGTGGGGGGACGTTCCACGGAGACGCTGGCGGCGGGGGCCCGGGGGCCGAGAGAGGGGCAGCAGTGACATCCCGGGCTCCCCCGGACCCCCTCCCCCCAAAAGAGGGAGGGAGGGGAGGAAGGAGGGAGGGAGGGAGGGAGGGAGGGAGGGAGAGAGGGACCGACCGGCAAAGCGAAACCAGGCAAGCGCTGCTCGGAGAACAAAGCAGGACTTTCGAAAGCAGACACAGACACAGACACAGACACGCAAGCCCAGGAGCAAGAAAGGAAACGAAGGAGACACTCGGACCCCCAACAAGAGGAAACAAAACTCAACCTGGGTAGAGACCGTGACCAAGTCCAAAGACAACAAACACAAGCATGCGCGGGTGGGTGGGGAAAGTGCACTTGAGGTCAGGAGAACATGGATTTCAAGATCACTGGCCACAAACACCGGAAAGGCGGGCGGCCGGGCGGTCTCGGGTGGCAGGGCTGCGGGGGGTGGGGTTGAGGGAGGGGCGCGGTGGGGAGGACCGAGTCAATAGGGATCCACTAAATAAACCCCGGATTCCATGACAACAGCCAAGTCAATGAAGACATAACTTTCTGAAGTAGCACCTAAACGAAATGAAACAAAACCACCAGGCAGGAAAGTCAAGTCATAGAACTGCTCTGGCAGCTTAAAAGTCAGAGGGAGGGAGGGAGGGAGGGGGAGAGAGAGAGAGAGACAGAGAGAGACAGAGGCAGAGACAGAGAAAGAGAGAGAGAGAGAGAGAGCGCACATGTGCATATACGCATGTACGTATGTATACGGACACATATTGGCATCTATATATACGTGCACACATGCGTCTAAACAAGTCCGTACGAAGGGCATGCATGCTCACGTACGCGCATGTGTCTGTGTGTGCACGTATATGCCTAGGCGTTTATAGTGTGCATGGTTGCTTGCGTGTATATACGCATGCACAGGCATCTATCTATACACACACGTACACGGATATGCACGCGCATGAATGCACATGCTCATATGTGCCTATACGTAGATATACATACCTACATTTAAACAAACACGGGCGTGTAAACGCATATAGATGCACACGTGTGTGTACGTGTGGTGTATACGCACAGGTGTGTGTGCGCGTATATGCGGACACGGACGTGCATGCTTACATATGCACACATATCCGCCTGTGTATATGCACACGTGTACGTACACGCGTATACATACATATGTACGCACGCCTAGACGTCTACATATAGCGTATATACGTCCACACAGACGTACGGCTGTATATGTGTATATATACGCATGTACGTATGTACAGTTGCAAGTGTGTGTATACAGTGCATATACACAGATTGATGTGCATGGATGCGCACACACACGCGCATGTGCATACGCGCGTGTGCATGTGTGTGCGCGCGTATGTATACATACACGTACGTATTGGTCAGTGTACGTGTACCTATGTGCATACATACGCATGTGTCTGTGTAGATGTCTCCGCGCGCGCGTGTGTATATACATATAGGCGTAGATATGTACATATATATGTGTATATGTACATATACACACACACAGACCTACACGTACGTACACAGGCAGAAACACACATCCGTGTGTGTGTGTGTGCGTGTGTGCGTGCGCGCATACCAGGAAAGCGCAAGCATATGGCCAAAGGGGATTTTCCGTCCAAAACTGATCAAGGCGTCAGACAACTGAACCTCCAAAAGAGAAACAATCCCCGATGAGCGAGGTCGGCAGGAGGCCCGAACAGACAGCTTCATTCAAAATAAAGGTAGAACAGACAGACACTCAAGAAGCACAAGGTAGGAAACAAATCAATGGCGGGGCTGGGCTGGGCTGGGCTGGGGTTGCTGGGGGTGGGGGCGGGCTCAGGGAAGCACCCCGGGGCGTTTATCTGGACAATGATAACTTGGAGGGGAAAGGCCCAGGAGCTGGACTCGCAATCGCGACAGCAAGTTCGAAACATCAGAAGACAGTGGCTCCTGATCGAGGGAATGCGTCTTTCCTGCAGCTGAGAAAAGTGTTGGCGGACTCAGAGATATCAGAGCTCATCCCCTGGCACCTCACAGAGAGAGAAACCCCATCACTAGGGAAACGAGTCCTGGGATCCCTCAGGACACTCCACCAAAGATTCCCCATCCGACCCAACCTGGCAACTCCACGGAGTGCCTACGGAGGGGACCAAGAAGATATGCGCGTGTGTATGTGTGGTATCGACACCTATACCCAGGTAGACATCCGTACAAACAGAATGATAGAACTCTCCGTCTGTGTGCCCACACCTGTATCTATTCAGGTGCGCGTGTGCGCACGCGCATGCAAACACACCCCCACCCACACCACGCCCACCCACCCACCCACCCACCCACCCACACACACACACAAATGGGACTCAACCACCAGAAGGGAATGAAATCTCACAGTCTGCAGGAACTTGGAGAGATCTTTAGAAAGGCTATTATGCTAAATGAAGCACCTCAGATCAGTCGTTTCCATGCAGAATCTACCAAAGGATACACCGTGAACAGAACAGAACAAATCAGAAGCAGGCTCATAGATACCACAAAGAAACACATGGGTGGTGGCCAGAGGAGGGAGGGGGGTGACACGGTGGCGGGGGTGGGTGGGGAGGGGGAGAGAATGAGTGAGTGCCACTGGTGACGGAGACAGACGAAGCGGTGCAGCCTTCCACGGATGAAATCAATGAGTCACGGGCACGTCATGACACCAAATGCCATCTGCCGTGACACCGAGTGGTGACGGACAGTCACTCACGAGATGTATCCTGGTGATCGCTGTGTCCTTCCTGCGCTACACTGAAACATCGTCTGTACACCTGGAAATTAATGGGGGAACAGCAACAGCAACAAAACCAAAAGAAGGAAAGAAGGAAGGAAGGAAGGGAGGGAGGGAGGGAGGGAGGGAGGGAGGGAGGCAGGCAGGCAGGCAGGCAGGCAGGCAGGCAGGCAGGCAAGAAGGCAAAAGAAAACCTTGTCAGTCAGTTAGACGTCAATTTGAGAAGAGTGGGACTGAGAGGGCTGGGGGCGAGACACTAGGGTGAGGAGCAGGAGGAGGAGCAGGAGCAGGAGCAGGAGGAGGAGGAAGAAAAGGACCAAGTGCCTTGAGGGGAAGAGGGAGATAAAGGATCCAAAGAGTGGACAGGACGGTCAGGTCAGTGCCATAGGGGAAGGAAACGAAGCCAAGGAACACATTCCCAACGGTGGTTTTGTTCAGCCCAAGATCAAGATGCGGATAGCACAGTGTCCTTCCTCCAGCACACAGGGACACACACAGGCCTCACTTGGCGAGGCAGTTCAGGATAACCCTGAAAGCTGAAGCTGAGAAAAGAAGCCATCACGTTCATCCATGGCTGAAAAGTACCATGGTCCTACGACATGACATTCAAAAATCCTACCAAACCATTGAAAGACTCTCTCACTCACTCGCCGTTAAAAATGTAGAGGACAGAAAAGGAGCGAAACGATGGTGGGTGGGTGGATGGATGGGTGGATGGATTTCCATGATAGTCTGATTATGGAACACACTGGCACAAAAGCATCCGATTCCCTTTTGTAAAGAATCTGTCTTGCCTTCCCGGCCCGGTGTCTTTCGGATGTCTGGATGATTCCCTCCCCCACCCCCACTCCCAGCTTTAAGATCAGCCTCCAAAACGAAGCCCTGTGTGCTCTCAAGGTCCCGCCGGAACTACCTCTTCGGAGCGCCCTTCTGAAGGGGAACGTTTTCACCCACGTCATCGCCCTGAGACGGCTTCGGCCTGTCCCTCCCCTCCCCCCACCGCCGCCTCCCTCCCTCCCTCCCTCCTGCTCCTCTTCCTCTTCCTCCTCCTCCTCCTCCTCTGAACTCTTGAGCTTCTCCTCTCACCCCACACGGCGGCAGTGTTGGCCTAGGTATGCTCAGGTGTTTCCTAACCGCATCCAAGCGGACTTCCGCTGTTTGTCAGCTGCGTCGTTCCGGGACCATTTCTTCCTGGACTTTTCCACGGGTGGGGGAGACCTGGACGGGCCGGGCCCAGGCGGCGTGGGGTTGAGGGTGAGGGAGCATGCATACTGGGGGGGGGGGGGGGGGGGGAAGGGTGGGGGCAGAGAGGAGGAGGGGGGGGGGGGGAGGAGGAGAAACACAACTCCCCAGTGCCAGTGCGTGCCTATGGCCTGGAAAACAGATCACACGCCAGGCTGGCTCCGGAAAAGGGGGATCGGTCATGAGACCGGGCACGTGTGTCCTTTGCAGAGTCCCTGCAGATCGAACAGGCAGGGGCAAATTTTGGGCTTCCCGCAGTTAGAACTGTTCGGCCATTGTGGAAACAGGCGTCTGAAACACCGGGGTTAGGCTCTCGGTGCGATGTCCACAAGCCGTAGCCATTGAAATGTGTGCACACTGGAGCCGCCATGTAGAGGGAGATCTCATCCGACTCCATGTGCTCTTCCAGTGAGTAGGCCGGGATCTCAGGAAGAACAGACATCCAGGGAGTTGCGTGAATCTGAGCGTCACGCTTTCAGAATCCAAGTGAACCAGAAAGGAGGTTCACTCACGTGTGAGTTGGTCTTTCCATAGGCTGAATCCTCTCTTTGAGCAGATTAGGGTTCCGGGGGCAAAAATGGAGCAGAGAGCACAGAGAGTTCCCTTAGGTCCCCTGCTCCTCCCGCAACGGTCTTAGGAACATCCTGCCCCAGAGGAGTGTGCCGGCCACAACCCACCTACACCGAGACGTCAGTGTCAGTCATCCTCGTCCAGAGTCCCCCCCCCCCCCCCCCCCCCGTCTGCCCTCGCCTTCACGCCTGCCTGGCATTGTCCGTTCTATACGCTTGTATCGAACCTGCCCGGAGCCCAGCGGCATCTTCCCTGATC